TTCAGGAGCGGCTTGACAAGAGGAATACGACATTTGAAGCCCATGTCCAGGATCCGTCTGTGTGTGGTGGCTCTTGATGCACTGACTCCAGCCTCAGTCCACTCCCTCCAACACTTTTGAATGGCCTTTTCCTGACAATCCTCTCCAGGCTGCGGTCATCCCTGCTGCTTGTGCACCTTTTTCTTCCACACTTTTCCCTCCACATAACTTTCTATTAATGTGCTTTGATACAGCACTTTAGGAACATCCAACTTCTTTTGCAATTACCTTTTGAGGCTTTCCCTCCTTATGGAGGGTGTCAGTGATGGTTTTCTGCACAACTGTCAGGTCAGCAGTCTTTCCCATGATTGTGATTCCTACTGAACCAGACTGAGAGACCATTTAAAGGCTCAGGAACCCTTTGCCGGTGTTATGGCTTAACTAGCTGATTAGAGTGGGACACTTTGAGCCTAGAATATTGAACCTTTTCACAATATTCTAATTTTCTGAGATTGTGGATTTGGGGTTTTCATGAGCTGTAAGCCATAATAATCTTACTTATGACACATCACGGCTTGAACTATCTTGCTTTGCATGTAATGAGTCTATCTCATATATTAGGTTCACCTTTTAAGTTGCATTACTGAAATAAATGAACTTTTGCACAATATTCTAATTTTTCGAGTTTCACCTGTAAGTTCCCATCCATATATTGTATACCAAAGCTCCATTTCCACATCTAATGCTTTAGGTAGTTTTTTCCTGATGCATTCCAAATTCTTCCATGAAACAATGTTGCTGGGCTGTTTTGGGACTGTGGAAAAGATCACATCATTCACAATCATTCTAGTAAATCCTCTATCCAAATATGGCAATGATAGAAATTCAGCAATATAAAATAGGTGGAAAGGAAAATTTTCATTGTTTTATTTTTTTTGCGTGCTACTCCAGGTAAAAGTTTGATTGGGGTGGTATTTTATATGGCCAATAAAGCTAACTCAGAATACAGGCTTTGCAACAAATAAACCCATATTTAATTCATAAATTTTGGACAGAAGGAAATGAGAATGATTAATCCCAACAACCTCCAGCCCAATTTCTAGAAGATCACCCCTCTTTCTTCCTTGCTTTGGCTTATGGAAGTGACATTGGAATTACCTATGATAACTGAGAGAAAAAGTTAAAATTTATAATGTCTTTCCGTTCAAGGGAAAATGGATGAGATGATTACTCTACTGTAAGGCAGGGGTCTTCAAACTCAGCCCTTTTATGACTTGTGGGCTTCAACTCCCAGAATTCCTCAGCCAGGCACGCTGGCTGAGGAATTCTGCGAGTTGAAATCCACGAGTCATAAAAGGGCCAAGTTTAAAGACCCCTGCCCTAAGGTGCTGTATGTGGAGCTATCTTTATCTGAAAGCTGCAGTTGGTGCAGAATGTAGTGGCCAGATTGCACAGCAGAGGTCTTAGCTGTCTTGGCTGCTAATTAGCTGCTAAAGCATGTGTAGACCCGAACAACTTGGGTACTGGAATATTGGTAGACCTTCTTTGCCATTACAGGTTGCTGTCACTACAACCATCTAAGTCTAGCTGCATGTGTCAACTCTGGCAGAAGATCATTTTGCATTTTTCTCACAAGCAGCTTTCTTTCTGGTGGTGCATATGAACCCTAGGATGCATTTGCCATTGCCTTCTGTAAGTCAGTTTTGAAGAACTTCCTCTTTAGCCAAGCCTTCCCTGCATGGAGGTTGGATAATGTTTCCTTTCCCCACCAACTTTGTAGTCAAAAACCTGTATTGTATACCTTTTATATAACTATTTCATAAATTTATTGTAAATTGCTTGGAAAAGCATTTGATGGGAAGTAGTATGGAAATGTATTACATCTAATATATTGTTGATGTATCACTAACAAAAAAAATTCTAAATCTCTATCATGTCTTTCTTAAGTTACATTGCTTAAAAGAACAACAAACCTATTCTTCCACCTCTTATTTACTTTCTCTCCCAGCCTTCCTTTTCTATTAATCTGTTTTAAAATGAAGCAAACACAGTATTCTATGCACACTGTTCAAGCAGGACCCGCTACTGATTGTGGCAGCTTTTCAGCAGGACTTTAAAGAAATAATCCCTTTCTCCCTCCCTTCTTTAACAAATAGCCCCAAGCATGTAATGCACACTGGTTGACTTCCATTGACTGATTGAAGTTCTAGTAGATTAATTCCCAAAGGCTGATGAAAGAGAACTATCATTGCAGAAGTCTTCAATTTTTTTTCTTCAGCTGAGTGTTTTTCCAATGTGTCACTGTTGCTGTATGTGATGGTTGTCATCAGCACTAGCTGGGAATTCTGATGGGAGTGACCATCATGTTGGGGAAGAGTAGATTATGTTTTGACAGTGTCAGTCTTAATAAATACTTTTGGCTGATGTGCTATATAATATTCTTTTAAAATATTTTCAGAAGTGATACTGTGATGCACTCAGGTGTTTTTTTTTTTCTTAACTGGAGAGAGATTTCCAGAAGCCTTTAGGGAGCTGACATTTTCAGGTATTCTAATACACATGTAAAATGGTGTCAGTCGGCCCTTTGGAGCTGACCTAAAATATGCTAGAAAAGAATCCATGTCTTACCTCCTCGCCTATGAGAAACTGGTCATCAACGGTAAAGGCAGCTGGCTCAGTGGGGCTGAGCCACCAGGTGGGCCGAAAAATTGGATCCCCCCTCGATAGCCATTCCTTGCTGTATTTCTCAATGAGTGGAACCACAAAGTTCTGGTGTCTCTGAATATAGTACCTGGTGAGGTTCAACACCTGAAAGAAAAGAAGGACAACGGCTTTCTTTTTTTTAAAAAAAAAATACAAATCAAAACAAAGAGAAGGTTGTTTTAAAATATGTCTTTATAATGAGCAGTAGATGCAACAAGCATTATTTGCAAACGCTTCGCTGCGTAGATACAGAATTAGCCAGAAAACATGGACTTCTTGGTATTTCATCAGTTTATTCAGCTTCTCATCATAATTAGACACTGATGGAAATTTCCTCCCTGAACTGAACGTGGTCAGGCTTTATCATCATTACCAGTGGCAGCAGCAATTGCACATGCCTCCTGGAATATAATCTAATGAGACACTTCAAGAGAGGAAAAGGATAGAAAAGCAACTTGTCTAAAGTCAGCTGCTCAAAGCCTAGAGTTCTAAAGAGAGATTAAATCCAACAGAGAAAGAAGGAGGGGAGGGAAGGGAAGGAAGGAAGGAAGGAAGGAAGGAGAAAGGGAAGGGGAAGGGGAAGGGAAGGGAAAGAAAGGGAAGGGAAAGAAAGGGAAGGGAAAGAAAGGGAAAGAAAGGGAATGGAAGGGCTTCCAGAAGTTTTTCAAAAGAAGCAAGATAGGAAATAACTACAGTGCGGAAGAATTCCAAATGCGGGAGGTAGGAAGGCACAGCCGATCTGACAGAAGAAAATGTTAAAGGACTAAGAGGAACGAGGCCCATATGCAGAGATTGTACCTCTGAAAGGACAGCAATGCTGTAAGGCTTCTGGAAACCTGGGCTAATTTGATGACAATAGCAATAGCATTTTAGACTGACATACTGCCCCATAGTGTTTTACAGTACTCTCTGGGCGGTTTTCAATGTCAGCATTATTTGCATATTGTCCCCAACAATCTGGGTTGTTGTTTTACTGACCTTGGAAGGATGGAAGGCTAAGTCAACCTTCAGCCCCATCAGGATCAAACTCCAGACTGTGGGCAGAATTTGCCTGCAATATTGCACTTAACTACTGCGCCATCAGGGCTCAGGACTTTACAGCTTTTCATGTAGAGTAGTGGGGTAGGGATTTCCACATTGGTGGCCATTCTCACCTTGCTGGCCTCCTGCCTTACTGCCCTCCCTCTTTTTCCATAACTGCATTACTATTCCTCTGATACAATCTCCAGTTAAGACCTTTTACAACTGGTTTTTTCCTTGCCTTGAAAAGAGCCACAGAAGGAAGAAACAAGGAATGGGGAAAGGTGCCAATTAGCTGCCTTTTTAGTGCCCCTCCATGGCCAGTTGAAGGGAGTCCTGGCCAAGGCAATAAGGAGAAAGTGAGGGCAGTTCCAAATGTTTTGCAAAATTACTGCTAATGATTTGGATTGCAAAGCTGGCAATCACATGGAAAGGCATGAGGAGAAGGCTGGTAATAGCTAAATTGAAGGAAAGAAGTAATACAAAAGGAACTGAGGGTTGATGGGTAGAGGGACAAAGAAGGAAGAAGGTAAAGGAGGAAGAAGAGAAGGAAGAAGAGGAACAAGTTTGAATTGGCTAGCCTATGAATGGCATTGTGGAGATCGCAAACAAGATTTTAGCTAAATTTAGTACTAAAGCATGAGGCTTAAAATGAAAGGTTGGAAGCACAGTAAAATATTATTATGATTGATGAAGGAGGAAAGTTAAGAACATAAATTAGAGTGTTAATAAATTGAGAAAAGGAAAAAGTAAAAGTTTGCAATATTAAGAAGGAAAGGATGACAAGAACATGTACTAGAATTTGAGGACAAAAAGAGGCATTCTGTAGAGGCATAAACACTCAGTCTCACAAGAGAATAGAATGAATTGTTGTGAAATAGAAAATAGAAATAAAGGGGAAAATGAAATGGATTGTTTGAGATGGCCTTCAGGGATTTCTATTGTATCCATCTGAAGCTTGGAGATGATTAATCCTTCCAAAGGATACATTGGAAAGATAAAAACAGTAAGAGCCAACAGAGTATGTGAGAGAGACAAATCTTGATAGTTCAGTGGGAAGTTTCAACAATTTTGTAAAGAATTTTGGGAGAGTGATTCATGTCATCACGTTTTTGTCAACACTTAGGGATCAGATAAACAGATTTTCTCCATGATGATCTGTCCTTAATCTGGTTCTTCGGTTCTTCCAATCACTACTGTAACTGAATCCATACACCTTACCTCTGGTTTCCTCTCCTCCCCTTTCCTTCTATCTTGCCCAAAATTAGGGCCTTCCCAAAGAGCTGGATCTTTGCATAATATGTCCAAATTAAGATATTTTGAGCCTGGTCATTTGTACCTCAAGGAAGAATTCTGGGTTGATTTGTTGGATTATCCATTTTTTAAACTTGGCTGTCTGTGTATTCTCGGAAGTCTTCAAAAGCATCAAGATACATTTATTCTAATTATGTTGAAATAATTTGTGATTCATATCAGAAGAGAAATAATGAATGGCAAGCTGCTATCTATCTGCATTAGACCTCAAGTTTTAACAACTAAAAAGGACAAGGACGTTTTTTTCAGAGGAATTTGAAAGGTAGCAAACGATCAGCCTGGAAAAAGTTGTTTTTTTTAAATTTTAGTATCATTAGAAAACAAAAAAAAGTTTACCTACCCAATCACCACAACAGACCCATGGTGGAATCCTGAAAGACATGACTGGAAGGAAAGTGACAATTTGCAGCCATCTAATATATAGCTCTTCATCAGTCAGAAATTCACCTGAAAGTGTTCCACCTTTACAAAACATACAGAAAACTAAATTAGCAGGCTATATGAAATGTAAGATTTTAGACTCAGTGAATGAGTAACCTCTAGAGTGAATTGATAATATAATTCAAGTCATTGTAACATCACTTCTCTGTTCTCTTGATAACCAGGGCAGTATTAAAACATGACACAATCAGTATCATAGCCCAGATCTGCCCAGTTCCTGGGCTTTTACAGTCTCAATCCCTTAACTCAGGGGTAGTCAGCCTTGGCTCTTTTATGACTCGTGGACTTCAATTCCCAGAATTCCTGAGCCAGCTTAGCTGGCTCAGGAATTCTGGGAGTTGAAGTCCACGAGTCATAAAAGAGCCAAGGTTGACTACCCCTGCCTTAACTGCTAGTACAGAAACCAAGGAAAGGTGGTGAGGGATGGGGGTGGGGGAAAGCAGAATCGCTGTTAAAACCAGCATTTTCCCAAAAGAAACAAGTGAAGATAACAAATAATAAAGAAACTAAACCAAGAAAGGCCTGACCCTTCATACATTTTGCCACTGATTAAACCTGAACAGAGCAAGTGTTCTGAAGCATGTCAGAAAACTGTACAGTATAATGATTGTAGTGGAAAATAACATTCCTGACTATCTGACTCTTGAGAGAAAGCAATATAATTGGCCTGATTGGTTTAGGTTATGAAAAATTAAACTGATACACATTTCCAGCTGGAGCAGTACAGTACTAATATAAATAGCTGAATTTCAGATAAATGACCCAGATAATTTCCTGTTAAAAGAAGGGAAATCTTTCATCTCCCTCTGTCAAACACATGCTTCACATTCATTTTTCAGGCACCATTCCTCTTATATAACAATAGTAATAAAAAAAACAGATAAAGCTATAAGAGTCGAAACAGAGGACTGATCATTAAATGTTTCATACTTCTGGGCCTTTTATTTCTTTTCTTTCTTTTTTTGCTAAACATTATATTCCTATTAACACATATTTATTGCACCTGGATGTCTTAAAGACCAATCCAACAGTTATTATTTTCACTTAAGCTACTAGAATTAAAGTACCATTGAGAGTCTGTAACTCTTGATCAACCCAATATCTCTGATATCAAGACAATGAGTTGTTTATTTATTTCCCATATTTCTGAACCACTCATCTCCCTCAAAGAGAGACTCTGGATGGTGTATAATAAAATATAAACACAGTATATAAAAATTAAAATGTTAGAATTAAAAAGTTAAACTAAATTTAAATATTTTTAGAAGGGGCAAGAATAGTTAAACCTGGTTAAAAATAATTTAAAAGGTGAAGGAAGGGTTCTCAGGGCATCAACTACTAGACCTACAGCTGCCTGCTCCTTTCAGCTTCACAAGTGAGGCTGCAAAAGGGAAGAGCAGGAGAATTGGGGACCTGTCTCACCTCTGGTGTGTGTGTGTGTGTGTGTGTTTAAACAACAGGGAAGGCTCTCTTCCTAGGTCCTACCAGTCAGAGTTCTTTAACTGAGAGGGTCTGCAACATACCTTCCCTGCCTGACTGAGTGGGACAGGCTGATGTAACGGGATGAAACAGGTTCTGTAGGTAGGCCTGGCTATTATGAAAAATAAGGCCACCTTTTACGATACAAGGAAATTACTTTGTTATGCAAAATTGAATTATATCTGCAAGTAAGTTATAGCATGTCTCGAAGCAATACATTATACATATTCTGGGAATGGCCTACAAGAAAGCAAAGTGCATCAGGCAAAACTGGACAGAAACATTTGAACTAGCACAAGCCAGAAAGCACTGCTTTCTACTTAGGTCAGGAAATGTAAGAATATGAGGGTTTACATTGGCCAAGAGCCACTGGAAGACAACAACATCATTTCCACCCTCCAGAAATGTTTGGTGGCCCGTATTCAAATCAGGGCCATCTGGCAAAATAGGATATATCTTTATTATGATGTGCAAATTTACTTCCTCTGGGTTGTAAACCATGGCTTAAGTTATGACACATGACACAGTATGTCAATCTAGTTTTTTGTATTTTATTCAATGAAGCATAATTTAAAAAGGCAATGATTGTTGGAGATTATGGGAACAGAGTTTAAAGCAATCTATTCCAACATTCAGAGAGAATCTGGAAATTACAGAAACAATTTTTATTCTAGGCAATCTGAAATCACCTCAGGCTTTTAGCTAAATATGGCTTAGGCCATTTTTTTTTTTGCAGTACAACTATTTGCACACAATTTGCCCTGTTCAATTCCATTTTCAGCAGAATGCCTTTCCCCAGGCTTGTGATGGATGCGTTTGACATTAACAGCTAGCTTTGCTTATTCGGTGACAGATTCGTCATTGGCCCTGAAGCTGGTTGCCTTCTTCTTTCAGTTTAGGAAAGGGCTTCAGTCTCTTTGCCCAGCTTTTAAGCGTCTGTCTTTTTTTTTCTGCTTGCATTCAATTATTTTAAGACTAAATGTTGAGTGCTGCCTGAAGCCATAAAATGAAAGTCAGTAGACTAAAAGAAATAAAGTTGATGACATATCCATGGAATTGGAAAAATACCATGTTTCTTGTCCTCCACAAGTATAGAAGATAAGAGGTGACATTTTAGATATGCCCAATTGCTTTATTTTAGATTTTGCAGATGTCCAGAAAGCTTCTTGGCATAACTTGAGCAAAATGGTGCAAATTGATGGCTAGTGAAGAACAGCCAAAAGTACCTGGGAATTTTCATTCATAATCAGAAATCTGAAACAAAGTTTCATGTCTTATCAAAGGAAACTGCCTCTTAATCAGGTGATTTGTCAACATAACACATGATGATGATGATTGGCTGTACGTCTTCAGTTTTCAGATCAAAACAATTTTAGCTCTACTTGGAGTCTAAAGGCATTAAGCCTGGGAAACTTTCACACCGAAAACATACTATATCTTTGAGCTCTGGAATACAGATGTAAACCATGCTATGAATCAGTTGCAAAACCAAAAAGCCTTGTGCTTTCATCAGTTAGATGAATGAAGCCAGGATTAAATGCATATGGATTTTTTACTTATATCCTTCAATTGTTTTTACTAGTATGCAGACTAATGCCTAATAACTGAAATCAAATAACTCCAGTGTGGCGGCAAAATTGGACATTGATGTCAGATTGTGTACATTTGTCTCCCAGTAGGAATCTAAAAAGCTGCCTTTTATTGTCAGACCAGTAATCCCTCTAGGTATACAAACTGACTGGCAGTGACATGGTGAAGCTTCAGAAAGGATTCCCTCCCCCGAATATTACATAGAAAAGGGGGCACTGGATTTGTAGCTTTCTGTTTATAAATATGTTATACTGGAAGTTATTGCCTGATTTTTCATTTATTAGCCTTTTAAAACAGCTTTTGAAAGAAGCAGACCATATAATAATATTACCTATTGCTTCTGGAATGAAAAAGTTATAACCAAGAAGACTATAATGAAGCACAGATGGAATAATCCCTTTCAAACCAGCGTAACTCCAGTCAGATTGTCGTGGATTCATTTGGAAAAAGAGTGGCAGGTGGCTGGATCTATAAGCAATACAAATAATTATACAGTAAACATGAAATTACTCAAATGCACAATAAGTGCTTACTGGAAGAACCAAATGCTACATCAAAATCACAAAAAGTCAAATGGACCTTGAACATGGAAACAGACTCTACTTTTGATGTATTACTCCTTACTTGTTAAATAGAAAGGATAGGCCAGAATAGATGATTGCATACATGGCTTTGGGGGATCAACCACTCCTCTATTCACTAGAATACAGCAAACAGAGGAGGAGTGTAGCTAGTTGAAGTTTCCTCTCTAGAATCCCACTAGAAAACGAACTTGGTCAAAGGAGGGCCAGGAATTAAATATTTTCCGACGTGCAACTCAAACTCATATGAAGCTCTTTTAAGACAGTTGGGGGATTAAAAGACAAGAATTACATCACTCAGAAAGCATGGAAAGCAGCCATTCAAAAAGTTCAGATTAAGGACTGAACTCAAAAACACTAAATGGCATTTCTATTGTTCAGATTTATCCCAGTGAAATGATAGCTTTAACTGTTAAGGTTATTAGAATTAATGCTGGGGTCATTGACTTGCATGTGTAGAAAATTCCTTTTAACAGAAAATAATGGGAAAAAATGGGATGAAAACACGTGCTTATGTGGGACAGAGCAGAGAAGGGCTGCTTGCAAATGCATGGAGTTAGGAGAAGTTTGAGAGATATTCATGCAGGATTTGGGGAGGTCTAGAATTTTGGTGGAAGAGCACTTTCCTAGAGCAAGAGAAGCTCAATTTAGAGTGTAAAAACTTCTTGAGTAGGAAAACAAAGGAAGGATCCTTATTGAGATTGTGATCAAAGCAATCTACCTAAATCATCTAGTTCCTGGCATGGGATGCTAGATCTCCATGAAATTTCTCATTGGCAGGAACTCGCAATTGTGCTAAGTGACTAAGGGTCATGACACACTGGCATTCTTTCGTTCTTCTGCTTAAAATCAGGTGAACTACCAAATGATGTTATAGTGTCTTTGCCTACAATAGCCAATACTTTATGTAGTTATTGTGAAGTGGGGATAAATAGGGTGCTTGCTTTGCCTTCCTTTATTGGCCAGCCTGAAGGAACACATATTGTCTTAAGAATTAGTGAATAGTGATAGTGAGGATGGGCAGGACAATCTGTCTGTGAAGGGTTTGAGAAGGAAAAATACAGCTGTGTGTAATTGTCCTAGGAAAATAAATCCAGCATGTTGAAATAGGATGATAACTTTGAGTCCCATGAGCATGTCTACTTTGCTTCTAAGCAAAACCAAAACAACCCTGCATTTCGCAGCTGAAATAGAGATCTTTTTCAGAGGGAATCAATTGTTTTTTCAATAATAGCAGAATGTATGGGTGTTCAAGTCACACTGTACACATTCAGAAAAAGTGACTCAGAAATTGAGTCCACAATGGAGGGGGGGGGTTGGCAGATGAGTTACTCTACTTGCAATATGGAGTACAGAATCCTTCCTTTTTCCAATTGTAGGTTATTAGAGAAAAAGATACATTGTAAAAGGAATCACAACCCAACTGTTGAACCCATCTTGATCCCTATGTGCACTTTCACCCTCTTGGATTGTATGCTATGTCCCCTCCAAAGGAATGGGCTTTCTCCATCCCAGTGCCTTTAACATGGGATGTAAACTATGAATCTCATCATTTACTGCTCCGGTGTTTGTCATCATCTTGGTACCCTAAAGGTCCTGCATCATTGTATATGTTTTGGGGGATAAGATGGAACTCTTTGTCATTTCCAAAATGCTGGAAAGATCATTTATTCCATGATATACTGCTCTTTCATTGCAGAAAATTAATGGGAAAATAGTCCCATAGTAAATATGCATGATAAGTCTTTCCACTTGTAACTGATAGGGAGAAAGCATTATTATAAAAAGTAAGTGGGCTTCAGGGCTAGTCAGCGCTTTCCTTAATTCTTTCTTAAACTTTTTCTGAAAAATAAATTAACCCAATGTTCTTAATCCTGTATTGAACCTAAAAACAGGAAGAAGGAAGAAAGAAGAAGAAAGACATCTTTGAGGACAGCCACTTTCCCCAAATTAGTGCTCTCTGCAGTGTTTGAGGTCATTTCCCACAATTCCCATGATACTCAGACAGACAACATATTTGGAAATGGGGAAGAGAGATCTAATTTGGGGAAGGTGATTGCAGGGAATTCTAAACCAAAGATGTATAGCATTAACAAGTATTATCTATCTCCAAGAACTTTCACTTTCTTTTATAAAGACATTGAAGAGTCACTTTGCGGCGAGATGGGTGACAAATTTAATAAATAAATAAATAAGATTGGAAGACAGACCTGCCTTAGGACAAGATATAGTGTGAGAATTTTTCCTGAAACCAACCTTGTAGCACCAGTAATTATTGATGAATTTCCCAACATCGTTGCTATTGAGCCCAAAATACGAATGTACTGATCCCCTCGGAGTTCCGCAGGAGGTGGGATAGCTTGTTCCATAAATATGTTGCCTTCACTACCTTCAAAAACCACATACTTTGCTCCCAGTTGTTGTTTCAGGAGCTTCACCTGGCCCAGGTACCAGAGCACTGCAGCCTGACTGGTTACATTCAGACAGGCTGAAAACTGCCCTTTCCATTTGGTGAGGAGTGGCACCTGTAACAGGAAGGAGGACATAAGAAAGCTGTAGCAGAAGTGGAGACTAATTCCTATAAACTGATTAGCCAACAGCATGCGATTCATCTGCTAAATTGGAGGACTAAAAAGGTCAGCTTTGATTATATAATGTTAGACATATAGAATTTATGTACGATCTGCACATAGGCGAATTGGGTGAACAGAGGGGAGAGCCTTAGCAAAGAAAAGTCAATAGATGAAAGGTGAATGAATATGTGGTAGCATCACTGGTTTGCCAAGACAGAAAAGGTATAGTGAATAGTGTTCACCATATAAATTTTAATTTTCTTTTCCTGTTTCTTATCTCAGGCGTATTATTTCTTTGCCTTACTGTTTCTTATTCTTTTTCTGCGCACTATGTACACTGAAAGGAAACTGCATGATAGGTATATACTTATTTAACAGCATTTTTGTACTGCTCCAATATAAAACGTTCTGGATCATCAGACAACATACTTATCTGTGTATGCAATGTATAAAATATTTCCATGCCAAAGTTTCCATTTCTTAATCTTTCACAAACCACTTTGAAGTATAACTGTGGTTATCTTTTCAGGCAGCCCAAGAATGCTGAAAATATGTTAAAGACACTGCAGTCCGATCAGCACTTGCTTTCTAATTGATCAGGAGAAGAGTATCGCCCAATGAATGTCACACACACACCCTGACCTCCCACAGATTCTGGAGAAACAAAGGTCACTCAGAGAAGGAAACATAATACAGGTAGTCCTCAACTTAAGACCACAATTGAGCCCCAAAATTTCTGTTGCTAAGTGAGAGAGTTGTGAACTGAGTTTTAACCCATTTTACAACTGTTCTTGCCACAGTTATTAAGTGAATCGCTGCAGTTGTTAAGTTATTAGCAGGGTTGTTAAGTGAATCTGGCTTCCCCATTGATTTTGCTTGTCAGAAGGTTGCAAAAAATGATCACATGACCCCAAGACACAGCAACCATCATAAGTACAAGTCAATTGCCAAGTGTCTGGATTTTAATCACATGACCGTGGGGAATGCTGCAATGGTTGTAAGTGTGAAAAATGGTCAGAAGTCCTTTTTTCAGTGTTGTTGTAGCTTCAAATGGTCACTAAATGAACTGTTGTAAGTCGAGGACTACCTGTAGATGTTTAGGGTTTCCCCAAGGTAGCCCAGTATTTTGCAAAACCAACAAAAAATGTGGTTAATCACAGACCTAAGTCAGAAACACATGACTAGAGGGATGCTGTAATATAAGTGCAAGGACTGATCAAAAGTCCCTTTTTTCAGTGCCATCTTAAGTTCAAACAGTCACTAAATAAATGTCATAAGTTGAAGATTACCTGTAATGTGATTTTTTTCCTTCTGACATTTGCTAACTCTTAAAAAAAAAGAATTAGAAGTTCCTACAACTTGGACTGGGGTGCTTGCATATCCCTCCATCCTGATTAAGCCATAACCTGCCCATGTCCATGCAAGCAGATAACAACAACTTTGAAAAAAAATGATACAGAGGGAGCTGAGTAGGGTTAAATGCCTCCCTTCTGCCATAACATCCAAATCCCAGCAAAAGGAGAATCCGCCCAAATCAGTTGGAGTGTGGCACAATTTTTAGGACAAAACAATAAAGTGATCCAATCTCTCATGTGTACTTTATACAAATTTTGGCTTTCATTTTCCTTTAAAATAAATCAAGCGGCCAAATAATCCTATAATATAAATGACCGTTAAAAGCAATGGGCCAAATAAAAGAGACAACATTAGCAAATTGTACCGAATAGTCACTGGATTCAGAATGGTGGCTCAACCAAAATTCTTCTTTCCCTTCTTGCAGGGACCTTTGGAAAATTGGTGAGTTGATGCTTGTATAAGGGGACAGAGTGATGGAAAGTTTTAGTGGTTTCATACGGAAGTAGTTCATGCTAAATCTCGGTGCATGCAGCCTTTTTCTTCTGAGCAGAGGTAAATAGACGTGATCCTGCAAGGGAGTGAGAAGAGAGAACAATGAGACTGTACCTTTGTTGCAGAGGTCAAGAACTATGCTATATGGAGAGAAAGACTAATTGCTCATTATGCAAACCATTGCTTATTAAAGAGAGCTCCAGCTGAGCACCTAAATTATGTAGCCAAGAGAGATTTTCCAGTTTCCTCATTAGTATCTCGGCATCAAAGCAGAAACCCAGGAGAGAGCACAAAAGAGATATTGTGTATAGATTGGTAGGCAAAACTTGAATAAACTCTTTGGTGGTTGTAGTTGAGGGAGTTGAGCATGCTTAGATGGACTTTTGCTTATGAGATCATAATTTTCAACAATGCTGTAATCCTGTATGCTTCTATCTTGGATGTTACTGGGTGAATCTGGTCAGGGCCTAGATAGTGTGTTAATAGGAGCCTCAGAAGCTGCTTATCAGATTTATGATAGTATCTAATAATAACATCCATGTCTTGTCCAAATAGTTGTTTCAACAATGTAGATTAGAAGTTCTGAAAGTATAGCCCAAGTAGTACGGTCCTCTGGCCTTAAGAAATAGCACACGCCTACTATATTAAATGACCTCTTTCCTTTCTTTCTTTCTTTCTTTCTTTCTTTCTTTCTTTCTTTCTTTCTTTCTTTCTTTCTTGCTTGCTTGCTTGCTTGCTTTCTTGCTTGCTTGCTTGCTTTCTTGCTTCCTTGCTTTTTCTTTCTGTAATAATTTAAGTCTTTGCAAGATGTTAAAACTCTAACAATTACAGCTAGTAAGTATACCAATAGCTATTAAATACTATCATAATCAAGGAAATACCCAGTGGCTTGGAAAAAGATTTGTTCACCAAGCATTTGAAGAATGATATTCTGAGCTATAATTTAATGCAGAATATTAGAATTAAAAATGGTTGAGGAATGAACTTTGTGGATGATACTTGGATTTGCTGCACATACCAAATTTCGAAGTACCATTGTAGACTCTTCACTGAGAGCAATTATGCCCTCCCCAAGATTATGTGTTTGAAGCTTATTGTAGAAAGATCTCAGTCCTCGTTCCATTTGAGCAAAAGAATCAGCCATACCATAATACCTCCAGACTGGTAACCTGTTAAAAAGAAAAGTCTTGCTTGATTTAACAACAATTGAATTGCCTGAATCACAAATTTTGTGATGAGAAAAATAATATATATATTTTAATAGTTTTATAGGCAGGCCACACTTATCTTGGTTTCCAAGGGTGAGGGACACAGTCGATAGGGTGATTATTAGATGGGTCAATGTCAGGCACAAGAGATCAGGTCCATCCAAATTAAAATGATTTATTGCTGCTGATACCTAAGCACAGGAATATCCTTAACTGACAGTTAGCACCTGCTAGGAGTTAATGGATTTGGGAGGACTTAGCTCACTTGTGGTTATGTAGAGATTCTAGGTTGATCACTCTTTTAATTCCGCCCCCAGATTCTGCCACTCCTTCCCCTACAGTCATATGCTATACATATAAACACATGACTTTTTGTTGATAGAGTTCTCCTGATTTCTTTATGTTTTTCAACTATTTTAGGTCTTACATTACAGTCTTTTTGTACTCCGCTTAAAAGGGCAATACGTCCCTGCATCTTTGGGAGTCATAGTGAACTTTTCAGTCTGATTTAGGATCAAGCTATATGTTTGCAACTTTTTCTCCCAGTCTGGAGCCCTTTTAATATGTAAGGAGAACAACTCCCAGAATTCCTAGATCTTGGCATTAAATAACTGCTTGAGATATCAGACAACCCTACAACATTTTACTTAATTCTTACCTAAGTATGTCTGTATCTGGCAACCTTGGTTGTTGTCTCGGAAGTCGACTTCCCAGTTCCTGATGAGCAGATGTGATATTTTGACTCACGCACACAGTGTACTGCAGGGAAGCCATGTCCGTGCCAGGGGTATTTTCAAGGCAAAAATGTTTGTTTCTCTCCACTGAGAGAGAGATTGGTGTATCTGAAGCCATCATCATGGTCACTCCTTCAATGATAATACACAGAAAAGCATTATTCATGAATCATTAAATACTTTTTCAATATAATTTTTCTTTGTGAAAGATAAAGTTCCAAAGTGGTTTGCAATTGCTTTCTTCTGACATGTTGTTTTCAGATTCCCAGTATAGTCAGCCAAGATGGACTACATGCTAGCATCTGCTGAAATAATGTTTGATGGATGCTGTGGGAAATAAGAACCGTCCCCCATCCCTCTTTGAAGATGTTGATTTTTCAAAATACTTTTTAGTTAGTATCTTAATTTGTCAACCCAGTGCTGGGTTGTTTTGGATTACAGCTCCTTTCACGTTTATCCTTGTAAATGGGAGTTCTAATACAATAGAGGACTATGGGTCTTTATGTATGTATGATAAAGTCACACAAGCCTTATACGCATGACTACATTATTTTATTTATATTACTTATGGGTGAGATTGCATAAACATTCTGTTGTTTACAGATGGAATAGGTATAATAGATATAATTAATTCCATAGTCTACAAACATTGATGAAAACTCTGAGTAATTAGATCTCTTTTTAATCAATAGTCTCTCTGAACCAAACACTATATGAGAGAGGCGTTCCCTGATTTTCAGACTTGTTGACCCTGGCAATAAATTCTCTTCACAGTATGATACTCAGTTCTGAACTGTGACAAATCTTTCTTCAGGAGCAAGCATTTCCCCTTGATCGACTAAAATGGGAGAGGCCAGAGACACTAGGTTACCAGAAGCTCAGTAGTTCACACTTAGAACATTAAAAATGCTTTACAATGTAAAGTGTGGCAAATGTTTTTAATGCTATCATGTTGTTTATGCCACTTAAGATGGAAAGGAAGGGTGAGATAGGTTCTCCCTGTCTAGTCCTTTTGAAGAAGATATTTTAAGATATGGAAAATACCTGCATCCCTACTCAGTTTTGGACCATACTTCTGTCCTATTCTTAGATAGATTTAAATTTATAATTCCATTCCATACATCCCCTCTTCACATATTTGGAACCTTGTTAAAGTCTCCTTGACCATCAGACAATTCTATGCAGAGTTACAAATCAGAAAAAACACCTTTGGTCTTTTGTTTTCTTAGCCTAACAGTATTAGGGACTGGAAAGATGTTCATGCCCTGAAGAATTGAAAGCAGGCACATTCATTCATGCATTCATTTGAATTTATATACAGGTAGTCATTGATTTATGACCACAATCAAGCCCAAAATCCAATGCTGAGCAAGGCACTTGCTTGTCAGAAGGTGGGGATCACATGACCCTGGGACATTGCAACTGTCATAAATACATGCCAGTTGCCAAGCATCTAAATTTTGATCATGTGACTATGGAGATGCTGTTGTAAGTGTGAATGATGATCATAACAATGGCAATTTTTCAGGGTCATTGTAACTTCAAATGGTCGCTAAACAAGTGGTTGTAAACCAAAGACTACCTGTAGTGCCTAACTCCCAAAACTAAGGGTGAGTTACAAATTAGGGGTACAATATATAAAGCTCATCTGTTAAAAAGATAACAGCCTAGTACCAATAATCAATCAGATAACTGCAACTGTGTTACCAAAAACCAAGTGAAATACTATCATTATGACTATCATTTTGACAGCTCTGTGGAAAGTCAACTTCTTGGGATATGTGATGTGTTTCATGGGGTAAGTCTTCTACATCAACTGTTCTGGAGAAGGACTGTCGTTGGTCCTACCATGCCTCTTCAATCTCATGTAAGTTTTACATCCTAAGCAATCCCTCTCTTCTTGACAGCATAGGCTGGGCAGATTCCGTCTGTTTCTTAAAGTAGGAACTCTTTTGAATTGAGCTTGATTCTAAGAAGCTAATTCTGAGACTGCCCTCCCAGGACATTCTCAGAGTTGTCTCAACACATTTGGAAGTCCTCATATGGGCAAAGATGGCCTAGTCTCATGCACTATTGCACAAGCAAGTAGATACCATTGTGCATAATGCACAGATTGAACTATGTTATTAGAAATATGACAAATTACTCTCAGTTCTGGGGTGGTCAATACTTAAGGTAAATAGCTGCCCGTCTCCTCTTAGTCTTTCAGGAATGAAGAATAATACTTAGGACCATAATAAGATATCCCAGATAATAAAGCAGTAACACTTCCTCCTACTAATAAGGGTGAATAGTGGTAGCCATTGCTGGCCAAGCTGTTTTAGCATTGGAGCCAGAAGACTATACAAACATTTCTGGCCTCTTTCTGATAATCAATTAGGACAACAAAGTAGTTATCCAAAATTTTGTGGTAGTCCATTTTACCCAATGCCCTGACAGCTGTTTTTAACTAAGTTTTCAAAACTGTGTGTGCTATTGTATTTAGACACTACAATTTAGTAAATCAAATAAGACAAGGAAACTTACCGGTGGATCCCAAAAAATATCTTTCTAAGACAGAGCCAAAAGCATTTGGGCTTTTACTAAGGTTACTGATAGTGAACGGTTGGGGCTTGATGTTCATACTATTCAGAGGCCAGTGCTGTCTACTGACACTGGCTCCCCCATACCAGGAGATATTTATCATGGAAAAGCAATCCTGTAAAGCAAAATACAAGATTAAAAAAATGAAATCTTGTGCTTTCTTGAATGAAGAGATTTTTTAGCACAATCAGCTTCTGAGGATGGGCTATGACCTGGCTGGGTTTAATAGAATGAACATATCACAAAAGGTATGAGGACAGCTTGCTAAACAAGGTCACATACACTGGAGGATGAAGGTCCTCTTTCCTGAAGCCTCCTGCCTTACTTCACTTGGTAAGGACACGGGAAGAGGACCACTAAATGAACAAAGAGCTGGGGCAAGGACATAAAAATGAAGGCATTCCTGGATATTTTCGCCCAAGCCACTAAGTACTGTAAAAAAAACAATACCAAAACACTAAATTGAGCTCAAAAATTAACTGGTGATCATTGCAGCTGATGAAACTCTGGCAAGATAAGATCATATTGTTTGTTCTCAATTACAACTTTGCAGCTTTGTTTTGAAGGTCCCACATACCACAAATCACAGTTATTCAGTCAAGAGGTTACTAGAAAATGTATGTAATTGATACTGTAGTATAAGAAGTCCTCGTCTTACAAACTTTTATTTAGTGATCGGCATTGAAAAAAGTGACATGACTATTTTTCACACTTACATCGATTGCAGCAGTCACGGTCACGCGATCAAAATTTGGATGCTTGGCAATTGGCATTTATTGTATGCCATGCGGTTGCAGTGTCTCGGGTCATGTGATCGTCTTTTGTGACCTTTTGACAAGCAATGGGGAAGCCAGATTACTACCTTAACAACTACAGTGATTAACCTAACAACTGTGGCAAGAAAAGTTGTAAAATGGGGCAAAACTCAATTCTCTTGCTTAGCAATGAAAATTTGGGGCTCGGTTGTGGTTGTGAGTCGAGGACTACCTATATTTTTGTCCAGAAGAAATACAGCATGCTATAAAGGATACTTCAAGTCACCAAAATCAAAGTGCCATTTCTTTCAACCCTAAATCAGAAGCATCCCCAAATTATGGGACCAATTTTTCAAGAGGGGTGCAAATATTTCCAGAACAGATTGAATTCTACTGAGAAGGGCAATAATAGCCTTTACTTGTCTGATATGAACTTCAGTGTATTAGCCTTCATCCAATCTATTATCATACTTAATTCTTTTACTACGTTATTATCTATCTGGTGATCTGCAGTTCTCCTATATCTTTCTATGCTTCAGGGAAATTATGAAGGATTTTTTTCTTATATTTTTCAAATCAGTGAGTTGGGTAGCCAAGGTGGCTGCAGAAAATTGAAGAAAAATGTAGCAACAACTACCCCTCCCTCCATTCACTACTTTATAATAATGAGTATATTTAAAAACAAAAACGTGCAATTGTTATCAAAATAAATTCTAAATCAACCTTAGAATGAGGTGGAAAAATAAGAAACCTATTCTGTCAGGGAAGAATATCTTTGTGAAATTAGAGAATAGATTTCTTTTTTTACCGTATTAGCTTTCAGTAAATGTAAATGTATTTTATTTTCTGTGGCTCCCTTTATGAAAAGGTCTTTTGTAAAACTGAAATCCAGTTATGAATGATCTCATTGAAAATATCCTTTTTGATTTAAAAATATACAATTAACAGGATTCTTTAGAATAACATCATTAAAATTATGGTGTTCTTATGCAGGGTCAAAAGTTTTGCTATTACAAAATTGAGAACGATATTAGAGAACTCCAAAGGATAAGATTTAGAAAAAGACTGCTGAAGGCAATGGTATATGTCAGTGTAAGCCAATTAAAATATAATGTGACTTGATTAATCCATCCTGTGCTCCTATTATTAACAAAGATTTACCATGTTGCCATAAAAAAAACAAGCAGGCAGCATATAATAATAAGTCCCTTGAAGGGGTAATTCCTGTATTTACTGCTTATTAGCAGAATTATTATCTTTCACTTGAAAAGCCACTTTCTCTGGATGTTACAAGATGGCTGTCAGGATTCATTTACATGGTTAAAAGTTCAATTCCTATATTAGAAATACTTCTGTATTGATTAAGGTAATACTTTCTTCTTGAATCCTCTGCTCTCTTTAATGTAGGTCTATTAAAACTAGCACAAGATACAATCTCTTTAGCTTAGCTGGCAGACAGAAATGCTGCTAGTTACAGAACCCTGGTCTCTTATAGAACACTGCCATTGTTAGACTTTTGGTTTGCCTGTTATCCACAAAGCACTTCTACTGTATAGAAGGCAGCAGGATGTGAAGAACGGCTTTGTCTGAGCAGATTCCATCTTCAAACCAATCCATAGTTGTTATAATATCAGTAGAAGGTTCCTGTATATACAATCATCTTTACGAACATGAATAATCTGGATAGTGACATCAGCTTCGCACATGGTTCTAATTGATTCAACTCTGAGCTTACTAATAACTTTGACAAAAGGCTGGCGTTGGCTTGTTATGTCTCTGTGGTTCCTCAGGAGGGAATGGGTCCAATATACTGAGTTAAACACCTCTATGACTCCACTCATGCTCAACACTGGTATTCTAAAAAGTGTCATCCCATCAAGTCCAGCAGTTCATTCTCACAGTGGCCAACCAATTGCACAAAGAAGCAGCAGATGGCCTTCACTGTTAACTAGGCTAATAGCTATGGATCCCCACGACTTCCATGAAATGGTCCAACCCGTTTTTTGAAGCCAGCCAACCTTTAGACAGCACTACATTTTGTGGTAGTAATTTCCAAAGTTTAATTATGCACTATGTAAAAAAAAAAACCCCACTTTTATCTGTCCTGATTCAACTAGGATGTTTTTTTAATTGGGTGACCTTAGGTCAGATCTGAATGTATGGATTTCAAAGGACTAGGTCTTTCACTACTGGAGTCATTTAAAATTGAAGTTTAAATGTTAAGGGTTGTTTTACAGTTGTACTCTTTCAAAATGCTATTCAAATAGCTTAAACTATTACAAAATTATTAAAACTGCCCAAATCGGTCTCAAGCATATTTTAAGTTGGGATCCAAAGGCTGGGAGATGGAAAGCTAGCTAGCTGGAAGTTCTCTGAGACAGTTCTGGGACTGTGGACTTCATTTCTGGGAGTTGAAATCCACAAGTCTTAAAGTTGCCAAATTTGGAGAGCCCTAGCAGAAGGTATAACAAGACCTTTTAGAACAGTGTTTCTCAACCTTGACAATTTTAAGGCATGTGGACTTCAACTCCCAGAATTCCACAGCCAGCAATGCTGGCTGTGGAATTCTGGGAGTTGAAGTCTGCATGCCTTAAAATTGTCAAGGTTGAGAAACACTGTTTTAGAATGTATATGTGGTCTCTCGTCTTTCAAGTCACCAAGATCTGACTCTGAGAAGATTTGGCGTTATTTATGCTGCAGTTGGTGGACCTCTAAAAAAAAAAAAAAGAATTATGATTCACTGTGATGGACGAAAGTTAACCTAGCATAATCCTCATGCTTAAAACAGAGCAAATTCATTCCACTGTTTATACTATTTCTGTTATGATTTCTTCCTTCTCTTGCTGTCTTTCCAGAATTTTGAAATGGAAAAGCATTTCTCACATAGCATCAATTTTGAATTTATTTTCCAGGAATGCCTAATATATTAGTAAATAATTCCCAAATGAGGCAATTTTTTGAAGCTGTGAAACTGTATGGCAATTCAGATGCCGCTGTATTTCACTGTTTTCCACGGTATCTCTTTTTCCTCCTTTTCCCATAAAAGTGTTGAGAAGAAAGAAAAAGAGACAAAAGCTCTACATAATGCCTTTTGATTGACAGTGTATACAAAGAAACCAGAAAGAGGGCAAAAAACAGAGATCAGTAGTTAATTACAAAACACATTTTCATTAAACTTTTTTTAATTAACATTGCATTTCCATTTAATCTCAAATATAAAATCTCTTAGCTGCAATATTCATTTTGCAAAATCTCGATCGTTAAGATATTTGTTTGGAAGAAGAGCTAATTTCTCATGGTAGACTATTTCCAATTGTGTAAGCCCATACGTGCATCTGAAAACACATCTTTTCCAGCTTTGCATGTCCAAAGAACAGCACAGTTTTTACATTTTGGTTCTGATAGAAAGACATCTGTTAGTTTTGAAATTAATCTAAAGCCTTCTCACACATTCTCTCACACATAGACAGAGTAAATATAACAAGGAAGATTTCTGCTGTCATTTGGACACTTAGCTTTGGTGACCACTCATATATCTCAGGTTATTATTTTTGACACTATTGTACATTTACATATTTGATAGGGTTATTGTAGCATCTTCTCAACAATTAAGCGATGCAAGATAGCTTGGATTCAATAATTTCAAACTGATGGAGGTCACATCCACTTAATCAAAGGAAAGAGGCAACATAATTTGCCTTGTTGACAAATTTTGTGGTGCCTTCCAGACTCCTTTTGGTATCCTCCAGTTCAGGGGTAGTCAACTTTGGCTCTTTTATGACTCGTGGACTTCAACTCCCAGAATTCCTGAGCCAGAACAGCTGGCTCAGGAATTCTGGGAGTTGAAGTCCACGAGTCATAAAAGAGCCAAGGTTGACTACCTCTGCTCCAGCCTTTGGAGAAGCAGAAAGAGCCTTTTGGGTAGGTGTGGCTGGTGCCTGCACAATAACTTTTTTTTGGGGGGGGGGTGTTGCAAGAACTAGAGGAGAATAAGGGAAGTTCAGTTAGCAAATGGAAGGGAAGTAAAGTGACTGCCTCATTCTTAGAAATGAAGGAACCACATTCCTTCAAGAAACGGCTCTAAGAGAATGCTTTGCTTGAAGCTTCATTAAATGAAAGCATCTTCCATTAACTCACAATTCTGCACTGAAATCACTTTGGGATTGAATTATAGTATAATTGCCATTTTTAATTTCATGAGCGCCAGCTTTATTTGATCCATTATCTCCTGCATCTTGAGATTTTCATAGCATTTATGCAGAAGAATCCCTTTCTAGGTTTTTTGATATACCTTTGTATGGTGGGAAGGTAGAAATAAAGATTTTTTTATGTTTACAATTAAAAACTAAGTTCAATGCAGCAACTGTTTGCTACTGTAGTTATCAATCTGAAGTCCAAGCTGGCCAAAAGCCTATTCTTTCTTCACATCATTACTATCTTGACCTCACCACAGCTGAATTTGCCTTGTTATAAAGTTATTTAGAGAATACAATAGAAGGAAATAAAGAAAAGCTATAATTAGTTACCTTTACTTTCACCTGGCAGTGAAGGGGAGTCCAGTTGATGTTGTAACACTCGCTGTTGGGAGAAGAGTTGGAGTCCAGGAAGACCTTCAGTTCAACTATAGCTTCCCAGGTGAAACAGAATTCAGACCGATTCTGCCAACATATGTTCTTTATGAAAGGTATCTCCACATCTGGGAAGCTTCCCATGTGAATCTTTAGCAAGGTTCTTTCTTCTTTCAAAGTCTGAAGGATGAGACTGTGATCTTTTCGATCCCAGATCAGGCCACTGGTACTACTTCTCAGGATCCAGTTTGTGTTTGGCTGATCCACTACTTGCCAATAAATAATCCCAATGGTCATCAGAAGGAAGACCACTACCCCAAAACAGGCAATCACTCCTTTCCAGGTTTCATTCATTTCCTTTAGGCCAGAATCCCACATCACCTCTGGAATTGCACTGAGGTTGTTCCTAGGGTGATTGTAAGGCATTGTTTTAATCAGCAAAAAGACAAAAGGAGTAAAAGGAAGAGGAGGAGGAGGAGATTTAGCAAGGGATTTCAGGGCCCCAAGCTTTCTGTTATTGAATTTTGCAGGAAATTCTGTTCTCTCTCCCAACTCCACCCCACAGACCCTGGCTATCTATCAATACTTCCACACTATCGGTACCCAGGAAGGGGAAAAAGAAAAAGAACTGGACAGAGTAATACTCCTGAAAGGTTTTCTCCATGCATTCTTCAAAAAGAGGCTTAAATCTGGGGAAGTTATTTGAGCCAGAGCTGCAAAAGCAGTGTAAAGGGAGGGAGCTTGGAAAAAAAGAACTGCAAATATTGTGGAGTGCCAGGTCCATTTGTCCTGCCAGATTTTTCCCAGATGCTTGACATATCTCTAGCACAGCGGTTCTCAACCTATGGGTCGCGACCCCATTTGGGGTCGATCGACCATTTCATGGGGGTCGCCAAGCAAGGCTGTCCGCCATTTTTTTTCCCTTTTCCGGTGGGTGCCTTACCTCCCTTGAGCTGGGCCAGCTGGTGGTCGGCCTGCTCTGTCTCTGCCGCTTGCCAGCTACGCCTCGGCCGGTGCAGGGGGCGGAACCATGCATGCGTGGCGCTCCCGGGCAGGGAAAGTCCTCGACTTACGACCGGTTGGGTAGTCCTCGACTTATGACCGGTTTAGTCCTCGACTTACGACCGGTTGGGGGTCGCGGCATTAAAAAGGTTGAGAACCACTGCTCTAGCATGTCTGAGGTTCCAGCTCAGTCCTCTAATCAGGAGTGCTGTCCATTGCTGATGGAGGTCTGAATGCTCCTGAAATCCTTGGCTTCAAAGAAAAAAAACCTACTTATTGAACAAGAAGGTTTTAACCCAGTGTTTCTCAACCTGGACAATTTTAAGGCATGTGGACTTCAACTCCCAGAATTCCACAGCCAGCATTGCTGGCTGTGGAATTCTGGAAGTTGAAGTCCACATGCCTTAAAATTGTCAAGGTTGAGAAACACTGTTTTAACCAAACGTTAGCCCAAACACAACCCACAAGGAAGTTGCTCATGTTTAGTGCACTATTGATTAATTCAGTGTAGGGATGTCAATGAAACGTGGAAAAAATAACAACTAAGGAACTCTAAATAAGAAACGCCTTACGATAGTCTATGGATGGTAGTTAACCACAAAGAAAGCTAAGCCTCTTTTAGTTGTGTCAGGTAAGCACTGGGTCCTTGAATAATTTCAGTTATTCAATTGTTAAATGGAATGTATGACTGATTTATTTGATGTAGACATTCAATGAACCAATATTTGCATGGACTTGAATTACTTAGTCCTGTTCAAATTTATTTGGATTACATTATGTACACTCTCACTTATTTTTTTTTAGAAGTGAGTGTCCAAGGATAACAGCAATAATACAATAGTGCTGTACACAATTTTGGCCTCTGTTCCAGCTCAGGCTGATTTTACAGCATTGTCAGAGTTGAAGATGAAATTATTTTTGGCTGTATTTTTCTTTGATTTACTGTAGTTCTGCATACATTGTATGTGTTCCATTTTTCCCTTGCTTCCAGACTGGGTACAGCTAACCATTCATTTTTAATTACATCCTTCATAGAAATTCAGAATTTGGTCCTAGATCTTACCTCTTCCTCTATGTGTAGTTTAGAATTTAATCTCACCACCACTACCTACAGCAACGTGCAATATTTTGCAAATGTACCCTACTGCAAAATTACTAGCATGCTATTACAACTGACAAAGACCTTTAAAGGCAATGAAGGAATATAGACAAGACAGCTGGGGATATTTTAATACATTTGTTTGTTTGTTTGTTTGTTGGTTTCCTTTTGCAGTCAAGTTCCCCTTCCATAGCTTCCACATTAACAATTCAGTCAGATTTGTTTTCTCATTATAAGGCAAATGCACACAGATACGTGAACTGAAAAACAGAGAGAAGGCTAGGGCTAGCCATTTATTTCATTTTTGGCTTAGTGGGAGACATCACTGCAAAAGTTCACCTTGATGTTGGTCAGCTAAAATAAAAGAAGACGAGTGGTGATTGCTTCACTGTGTTCATTTTGAACTCAGTAGACCATCAATAACAACTTGGTTGCAAATTGTTTTGTAAGGGTTTTGCAAATGAAAATCCTGATTGTGTGGAAGTGTCTTTGGTTCCATCGTTGTCCTATGCTGCCAATTACACACACCCAGCTGCTTTCTGATAATAAACTCAATATATTTATTGCAGTCATAAATCTTTTACTGAAGTAACCCCAAACACCCTGCAAATTCAAGGCTTTCTGCGCGTGTGTGCACGTGCACACACACACACACACACACAAACACACACCAGGCCCAAGTTCTAACTTTAGCAATAGAATCAGGAGAGATGAATATCTGATACAGGAAGATCCAAGAATAATTCATTTCCAGTCCAAGGTTTCATGTAGTCAACAACAGCATGCAGAATCGCAGGTAGCAAATTCTAATGTTGTTGACTACAAGAGCCAATAACCAAAGCTATCTCTTGTATGTAGCCCTTATTATTAGCTTAGGTAAGCTGAGATATATTGCTGGGCTCCAGTCCTTGCCTGGCTCAGGCATTGAATCAGATGACTCAGCCGGTATCTCTTTTTCCTCTGATGTACTTTCTTCATCTAATTCCTGGGGTGCAGGTTGAACCTTCTCAGTCAAGGTCAAGCTCTTCAGCCTTTGAATCAGAAGACTCAGACTGTTCCTAACAATGGTGCACGCTGGAGTTCATCCCTTGATATAACTTTTATACGACTATGATTTAATTCAATTTATTTTTAATTAAAAACTAAAGAGCTACATTTGAGATGCTGCTGCCTTTTTTTAAACAACTGAAGGTCTTTAAGATCTACATTTGTAGATCTCTTTCCCAAAATGTACGTCTCATATGTAAGTGTTTCCTGCCATTGATTTATTCATCTATCGTATTGTTGAAACTTTCCAGGGGAAAATATTAGTCTCTTTTTTATTCTTTATGATAGCATTCATGATAATAAGTTTGAATTCATGTATTATTTCAGTAATTCATGTATTATTTCTTTCTAAGAAATAATTTTAACTTAAATATGAGATTGACAATGTAATCTTAAGGTTAAATACCTATGGGTAAGTCTCAAGATATTCTGCTAGGCTTAGGCTTGATTATGTAGTTTTAGGCTGCTTACATATTTAGACTCACTTGACACTAAAGGGATTTGCTGCCAACTAATATTACAGAGCATTGTACTCTATATGTATAATTTAGACATATGAAAATTTAAGCTGAAAAGATAAGTATGAAAACAGAAAGAATCAGAGTTTGAAATCAACTAGCTCAGTGGTTCTCAACCTGTGGGTCGGGACCCCATTTGGGGTCGATCGACCATTTCACGGGGGTCGCCAAGCAAGGCTGTCCGCCATTTTTTTTTGTCCGCCATTTTTTTCCCTTTTCCGGCGGGTGCCTTACCTCCCTTGGGCTGGGCCAGCTGGTGGTCGGCCTGCTCCGTCTCTGCCGCTTGCCAGCTATGCCTTGACCGGCGCAGGGGGCAGAACCACGCATGCGCAGCGCTCCCGGGCAGGGAAAGTCCTCGACTTATGACCGGTTGGGTAGTCCTCGACTTACGACCGGTTTAGTCCTCGACTTACGACCGGTTTAGTCCTCGACTTACGACCGGTTGGGGTCGCGGCATTAAAAAGGTTGAGAACCACTGAACTAGCTAATGTAGTTGCACAACAACACTGCTTCACCAAGTATAGCAAAGGAGAAAAAGTCTGGAGATAGGATTTTGATCGCTTTTATAGTACACACTGGATTCTTCTTGCAGAAAGAAAAAGCCCATAACAAAGACCTGCAAATAGAAAGAGAACGACTGTGGCAAAAGAAAGCAAAAGTAGTATCAATAGCCATAGGCATCTTGGGTGCAATGCCAAAACAACTGGAGCACCACTTGAATCCCATCGGCATTGACAAATTCACTTTAGTCCTTTAGTTCAGCACCATTCAGCACTATTGTAACTTTGAACAGTTGCTGAATGAATGGTCATAACTTGAGGACTACCTGTAGTTGAGCTGTTAGGTGACAATGGCATAAGTGACTGCTTGAAGGGCTGCCCAGTCTAGGAAAGGGTGCAAATAGGGGATTAGATGGAATTGTGAAACCCCCCCCTCCCTTGACTGTAGCTGCCACCTGCTGTTTGAGCAGAAGCTGATTCTATACATTCCTGAATGGAAAAGTGCAACCACATCCAGGAACAAGGAAGGAAAAATCCACATCTAGGTGATCATAACAGTGACATTCAGTTTTGGTAGGATTGAGTCAAAGTTGGTTTCTTTTTATTCACACAGCCTCCAGGCACTGGGAAAAGACTTTGCCAGCTTCATTTGCCAGCCTGGGATCAAAATATATAATTAGGCATCATCAACAAATTGACAATGCTAAACTGCAAACTGGTGGATTGCCTCACCCCAGTGGTTTTATGTAGCTGTTGAACAAGAGAGGAGACAGCATCAAACTCTAGTGACATCACTCAAAGAAGAGGTCTAGAGAGCAACCACAGCCCCCACCCCACCCCCATGGAACTATCCCTGGAGGAAGGAAGAGAAACATTGCACTATGATAGCCCTATTCCTGGGATCAGTTCAGAAGGATACCATACTCAACAGTACTGAGAGCATCTGGGAGATCAAGGAGCATGAGGATGGAGGCACCCCTTCCATCCCAGCTCTGCCATGAGTCTTAATAAGTGTGACTAATACTATATCCATACTGAATTCTGGCTTGACTGAAGTGATTATAGAAAATATGCTTCCTACAGGGTCTTGTGCAACTGCAGCCCACCTGGATGCTAGTTGTCTAAGATAGTTGAGTCCAACAATGGTTTCATGAGAAGAGGGTCCAGTTGCAGATCTCTCCCATGACCACTGTCACTATTCAGGAGACTCCAACACAGAGATGGTTGAACTAACAACAGAGAACCCTGTTCACCTCTTCA